CTAGAAGGTAAAGAAATTAAGGATATTTGCTTCTCTCACTGAGTAGAAAAGAGAAACTGGTGAGTTAAGGTGATAGGAACCTTTCAAGTAAGCAACCATTTTAGCTTAAGAGTCTCTAAGATACACTATGAAGCAAAACCCTAGACTTCAGGGAAGCAGTTCTTTAAAGTGAAGTCAGTATGATTCCATACCCTGAGATATTTCAAAATAGGAAATGGATTAAGAGTTGGAAAGGTCTGGGCCGCCTGGGCGGCTCAGTCAGTTAAGGGTCCCGACTCCAGCTCAGGTCATGATCTCACAGGGTCTGTGAGTTCGAGCCCCATGTCGGACTCTGTGCTGACAGCTCAGAGCCTGGATCCTACTTCAGATTCTGGGTCTGCTTCTCTCTCTCTGTCCCTTCTCTGCTCTCTCTCTCTCTGTCTCTCTCAATAAAGATTAAAAAATTAAAAAAAAAAAAGAGTTGGAAAAGTTTCTTGCCTACTGAAACCAGTTTGCCTGTACTGGGTGCTCTCCATTCAGTTTAGATTTCCAAAGAACAGTTAACAAAAGAAAGAGATGAAAATCAAGGATAAATAAATGTAAGATAGTGTGATGAAAATAATGCTAAGAAAGTTCATACACCAAATGAGCCTGAAGTTTGAAAAAAAAACTACTAAAGATGACAGAAAGTTGTTGGGTTGTTCTTAGATATATGTTTAGATTATGGATTGGATAGATGTGTAACTCATGCAATGCTATGGCATGACCGAGATCAGGGAGGCCTTCTCAATGACTAGTCTTCCCTGTGGAAGAGAATGATCATAGACCTAAAAGGGTAAAGTAAACATCAGTAAACCATAAACTGAAGTCTAAGATAGTTAAAGTGTTCCTAAGAAGGCACTCAACTGTTCTGAATGAATTAAAATTCTATCCCGGGAGTGGTGACAAGTCTTATAGATTTTATTGCCTAGTCATAGTTGCTAAAGTTTCAGGACTGTGGTGTGGGTGATAGGTGTCAGAAGACCGGAGACAGCAAACATTGGCTTTGGTTTTTAAAAGGAACAGGAAGCACATGAGATCTTTAGACTAGACCAACGGATATCATGTTGACTGAGTACACAATTCTAGAACATGTTATTACAAGGATGATTTGTAAGCACTTTTTAAAAAGATAGTAACCATGAGAAGGCAGCACAAATTCTCCAAGAACAAGTCATGTTAGACAAATCTCATTTCATTTCTATTTTTGACATGGTTTTTGGATTGGCAGATCAGTAAAAATGTAGGCATACTGTATCTGGATATCAGCAGAGCATCTGACGAGGTCCCTCATCATATGTCTGTGAACAAGGTGGGAGAAATGTGGGTTGTGTGCTAGCAAAACAATGCTGCCTGATGGACAAGCGTCAACCTACAGGAAGGATTCCACTGGCATGCCACAGAGCGCTGACCTTGATCTTGTCCCAGTAATGACTTACCTAGAAATGAGGAAAGCATACCTAACAAAACTGCAGATGACACAATTATGGGAGCAATATAATGCAAATACCTCGTATGGCAGAATTAGAATTCAATTACATCCCCACAAGCTAACAAGGTGAAATCAAATGAAGCCCAATCAAGGCTCTAAACGTATTTCCACCTGCCCCCCATCCCAAACACACAATTAAAAAAGCTCCAACTATGTAATTTTAGAATAAAAGTGGCTTAGCCTCAGAACTTGTTAAGAAGTTTTAGGAGTTTGGTTACTAAGCATTCTCAACAAAGTATCGGTAGTGTTACGTAGCCACAAAAAAAGCTGACATTGGCACAGACAGCATTAACAGAAGTATTTAGTTTAGAACAAAGGAGACAACTGATTGTTGGTAATAGCACAAATTTCTGAACGAGTCAATCAAGGTGATTGCTGAGAGTCCCATCTAAGGTACATCAGCTCTGCTACCCACCCTTGCTCAAGGGGCAGCCATAGGTGGCCATGCTGTATGTTTAATTACATAGAAAAAGGTGGCCCTTTTTCTCCCTTGGCCTCACCTGACTGAGAGAATACTGTTGTCTCCCCTTATCCAAGGGGGATACATTCCAAAACCCTCAGTGGATGCCTGAAACCACAAATAGTACTAAACCCTATATATACTAGGTTTTTTCCTATACACACCTATGATAAAGTTTCATTTATATATTAGGCACATTAAGAGATTAACAACAACAATAATAAAATAGAACAATTATAACAATACATTATAAGAACTTATGTGAATGTGGTCTTTCTCTCAAAATGTCTTACTGTACCGTACTCATGCTTCTTGTGGTGATGGGACACGATAAAATGACTACATGATAAGATGAAGTGAGGCCAATGACGCAGTGTGTGAAGCTACTGCTGACCTTCTGACGATAAGTCAGAAGGAAGAACATCTGCTTCCAGACCACGGTGGAGCGTGGGTAACTGAAACTGCAGAAAGGGGCAACTACTTTATCTTGAAAAGATGTTCTCAATTATTTGAGGTGACCTGAATGAACTCTGCACCTTGCCACCAAGGAGTCTAATAACCCCCCCCCCCCACACACACACACACCTGCATTCAGCCCTGGCCATGACACTTCAAGAAGAGTTTGGTCAGCAGTGTGGAACTGTGCTCTACCGAGACCAGGCTGGAGGATTTGAAACCAGCCAATGTGAGGAAATGTTGAGGGAACTGGGGAAACATTTATGTCAGAGAAGTACAGAATCAGGAACGGTGAAGGGCCATCAGGTGTGTGAGGGATTTTATTTAGTCTGTGAGATCGCAGAACCAGATCTGGGAGAAATGTTAAGAGGTGGGAGATTTCGGTGCAGTAGGAATCCTCCCGGAGTTGCTGGAGGTGGAATGGAATGCCTCAGGAATGAATCAATTACCTATTTTGGAGCCATTTAAGCTGAGGCAGGTGACCACTTAGTAAGGACAGCAGTACTACCTTTGAATTGTTTAATGCTCTGCAGTGTACGAAGCACTTTCTGCCACACCAGCTTGATCTTCCACACACATTGAGACAGGCATTTTTACATTCATTTTCACAGCTGAGGAAGCTGAGGCTCAGAGAGGTTATGTTACACAGCTCATGAGTAAGTGCCAGTGTGCCCACAAGAGATACCCTTTACTGACTGCACGTGAAACAAACACTTGAAAGGATATATTTGGAAAACCCTAGCTCATCAGGCTGATGGGGTTTCTAGGTTTGTAGAAAATTTGTCTTTGTGATACTGAATATATTACCAAATGTACTAAAAAGGTACTTTCTGCACAATCTCACATGAAAACTTATGTTCTTCTCTGCGTCTTAAGAAGCTGAGACCAATTAATACATTCCTTGCATAGATACAGAAGGTCCGTGGGTGCAGTTTGTGCAAACATGCCTAGATGTACATTTCAAATAAGAATAGTTTTCTCTCTCCATTTGCCTGAGCCCATTCCCCACCCTCCTTCCAGATTTCCTGTTATTTGGCTTCTTAGAGGGAAGTATGTTTTGCTTGTCATGATTGCTAGATAACCAGATTGCCCCCCCCCCCACGGGTTCCTTGGGTCTCTATCACTAAGTCCTACAAAGGAATTAAAAGAATGAGTACATTTTTAAAGAAGATGAGTAAATCACCAACATTAGCAAAATCTCCTTGAAGATACCCATTGTTCTCTGCTTCTCTCACTTCATTCACCACCCTCTCTCAATTAAAAAAAAAAAAAAAGAAACGATACACAAACACTGTCACTAGTACAGTTCTAATTGGGTTATCTTCACCATCGGAGCTGACTGCTGTATTTTCTCTTGGGAGATAACAGAAATATCACTTTATGAATCTATTTAATCTAGTAGTGATGGATGATACAGAATTTCCTGGATTTGAGCCATAATGCTCTCAGTTTGTTGGTGATGACATACTCACTGATGCCATGGCTGGCATATAACTTAATATGCTAAGAAAAAAATAAGCAGTCTTATAATGTCGGTTTATTAGTCCTCCCCTTTCCATTCCAATTCCCAAATATTGGGACAGAAATTGATCAGAGTTGACACCACACATTGCTTATCAAGTGATATATTATACCCCTTGTTTACATACAAATGTGCTTAGAAAAAGCTTCAGTAGTAGATCTAAATAAGGCGTATAGAAGGCAAGGGGCAGTCTTTGAATTTAAAAGATTAACAAAATAATATGTTTTATTAGGTAATGTTTTTCTATGTTAATGTTTAATACGTAACATTTTTCTAGGTAATGTTTACTAGAAAGTTGGAATTTTTTTAGTTTAAGATGAATAATTTCTCATTTAATTGCATCTAGTGCTAGCGTCTATTCTACAACGGGGGAGGATTAGAACTTTAACCCCATGACAGAGATTTGAGGAATGACTCTGAAAATCCAAATACATGAAGTGCTGGAAAAACAGAGGCAAACTTTTTGGTCAAAAGACCAAACTTCACCCTAAAGGCAGGATCGAGTTTTTAAAAGGACACACGGACCTCCAGTTTATGAAGGTCCTTTTTTAAAAGGTTCTTTTTAAAAAGGTTGTTTTAAAATTCATTTTTTAAAAACTCTGAAGTCAACTTACTTTTCAAAAGAATCTTACAATAAAACCCGAAGTATCGCCGTTCCTCCAACTGTGTCTGGATTTTCCTGTAATGTTGCAATTTCTTGCAACAGGGTACAACTGCCTTTTACTTTGAGGATGCGATGATAGTTTAGATAATTGCTTCGTTTCCTAGGTTTTTGTGGATGGCTGCCCGTGGGGTGTTTATGCATCTGTGTTTCATCTTTCCACGTGAACCTGATCTCGTCCATGTCTGTGAGCATGCCTGAATCCAGACGTGTGTGCCCGCGTGCACGTCTCTGGTTATAGGGGTCTGCCTTTTGCCCGAGCCTCTGGGCGTGTATCCCTGCGTGCATTTGTGTGTCGCTGCAGATGTCTATGGTGACATGAGTTTCTGCACTCACTGGAATCATCCTCTGCCAATATTTAAGTTACTGGGATCGATAAGAGCTCAAGTACCTGGTCTCCAATGGTATGTTGCTATTCAAGACCCAGCTGTTATGCAGATGAACAGAATCCTGTGTACTGGTTGGGGGAGCTGGAGCAGCTGGGCTGGGCTGGCTTCGGGTAGTCATCGATCTCCTCTGAAGAGAGTCGGCTGCAGGGGGTGGTTTCCTGGCACAGGTGCACGCATGCGGAGGCGGTGGTGGAGGCGGGAGGGGTCTGAAGGTGAACTGGTTGTGTGGGCTGCTCTGCATGTCTAAAGAAAAGAGAAGAACACAAAATAGAGACTTACTCTCCCACTTGGCAGTCAGGGAAACACAGCTTGTCAGACTCAGGATTTCAGAATAATATAACCTGTGGGATGGGGGCAGAGTTTTAAGTTCAGTCTATCTGTAAAAATGTCACTTAACTTACAAAAACACGTGCAGCACGCTTCTGAAATGTGAAACATTCACAGTTGTATTTGCATGTAAATTCTTCAGGGCTATAGCAGCTAAGAAGTAAATGAGGCTGCCTCACACAATTTGTCATAGTTTCTGCTACCGAACAAATAAATCATCAACAAGACACTAAGTTACAGAACAGAAGTGAGCCGATTTCCATCAGTTGCAAAAGTCTCACTTCGGAAAATACCAGTGAAAGGCACAAATTTGTTGCGAGAAAAAAAATCATCCGACACTTCAAATAAAAGTATAAGGCCACCTTCTGGCTTACCTCGAGAAAGGATGCTAGCCTGCCTACACAGGAGCAAATCCGTGCTTCAGAGAAACAGCTCTCGAGTGTGTAACTCGACTGCGTGAAATGCATCTCTTTGCCAGCCCCCAACTAAGAAACAGTGCTGCTTGGAAAAGGCAGGCTAAAAGGAGTTTGCTCAGGTTATTATACAGATTTCCATGGCCACGAAAAGCTCAGTCCACCCCCTCCCCCCACCTGCCACACCTTTCTAGGAGCTCTGCCATATTAGCAGCAGCTTAGGCAGAAGGGAAACCATTTTTTTTTTCCTGCCTGTTTGTAGCTGGGGCAGCCTGGGACCACGGTCCTCAGACTTCTGTTGTTGCTGTTGTTTGGTATTTTTCCACTGTTTTCCTGGCAGGCACATGTATAGACAGCGAGTTAGGATCTGGCCCATGAGAAATGCCCCAATTAAACCCCTTTGAAAAGGAATCACTATCGTAGCTGATAGCCACCTCTCTTCCACAGGAGAAACATAATAGATGTCAAGTGATCTCTTGTAACACCAGCACGTTCTGGATAAACTTTGTAGACGGCATGGCTTTGTCCCACCTCCCAAATGACTGAGAGTTGAAAAGCAGAAAAATGCCAGAGGCTTTCCATGCCTAGCAAAGAGCTCAGCTGGTTTGTGCTGAGACTCGCTTTGCAGTGGCTGATCACAGGGAAAAAAATAACTTCTTTCCATCCTTCTACCTCAAACTTGAAGTTTGAAGACACTGGCATGGTTTTCATATTTCAAAATGATACTGGTTCCCCAAGAGCATGACAAATTCTTGGCTGTGTTTTCTACTATAGATGGCTCTCCCTTTAAATATCCTTGCTGTATGAAAAAGGGAATTGTACAAAAGATAGATAGGGAGGGGAGTAGTGATCATTCATTTTATACAAAATATTCCACTAGATAGTCAGCTACCCTTGTATATTTAAAAGGAACGAAAATGCTTCATGAATTTTTGAAATCAACCCCATTATTCCAGGTCCGGCCCAAATCCCATATCCACTAAAAATATCATCACAAGCACTTAACATCTCATTAATTTTTTTAAACCTCTGGGCTCATACTCACAACCGTAACTAGAAGCATGCTCTCCATCTTTGGGACTCAAAGAAGCATTGAATGCTAGAAGCCAAAAGACCTTTCACTTTGCAGATGAGAAACTGATGTCTAGAGGACTGCTTGTCCAGGGACACTTGGCGTGGCCCAACCTAGAACCCATATCTCCAGACTCTCCGGCCAGTGCTCCACGCGCTATCCTGTAGATCTCTGTCACATGAGCTCTCTTTACCTCCTTAAGATTTAGAGACACAGAATCCTCCACATCTCCGGGATTTTTCACTTGCGACATACCACTTTACACCGTGACTATTTGTTCATATGTCTGCTTCCCTCCTTAGATCCTATCTCCTTCAGCGTCAGAAGGAAGGCGGTTGGGTGTAGTGGTATACAGCCCTGCACAGTGCAAAGAGCACAGGATTTGGGAGGATGGCAATCCTGGGTTTGAATTCTGCCTCTGCCATTTAGAAACGTTAACTTCTCATTTGTGAAGGGGAGATAAGAATCCTTTCCCCTAGCCATTAAGCTTAATTCATGTCAAATGTGCTTGGACATAGTGCGTCTGTCAGTGACTACTTGTTTATTGAATGCAGTAGAAGGATGAAACTTCCAGGCTGGAAATGACCACAGGGATAACCCAGTGCAGCATTCCCTCCTCCCCTCTCCATTTTACAGATGAGGAACCCAAGGCTCAGAAAGGTGAAGTGACATGTTCAAAGTCACTCAACTTGCATGAATTTGCCTGCCTCTGTCTGATGACTCCTGGCCGAGTACTCTTTCCATGTGCCATTTCAGGAAATAAGTATGATTCTCTTCTTGATTTTAACATTTATTATTCTTATCGTAGCTTTGGCCCCTGGGTTTGCAGTATTACAGTATCCCCTTGTTTTCCTGTGTTTTTGTCTTATCTACCAAAATAGACTGTGTATTTCTTAGAGCAAGACCACCTTCTACTTTTCTTGCATGTCACATGAGCACGGTGCTAGGTACAGAGTAAGATCCCTAAAAACTTTTATTTCGCTCCCCCACTGGGACCTAGAGAACTACCCTCAGTGTACCCTGGGCTCTTTCATTCTGATGTGGACACTGGGTAACTATTTGACAATTCACTAAGCAGTAGGTTTCCCCCTTGTTGGTCTCAGTGAAATCTCTCCCACAGCCATGGGGAAGGACAAGGATACCCTTCCAAAGAGGGCGCTTAAAATCATGCCCCTCCAAGGCATGAAACGGGCAGCAGAGACACGCCACAGATTTGCCATCTAAATCAATGAATTTAATGATGCAAGCAAGGGAAACAGGGTGGGAGTCCAGAGTCAGAAGAAGAAAAGGAATCAATTTTAGGTGTTGGGTCCGGAATATTGCCAAAGGACATGTGACATCTATTAGCTTAATCAGTAAGTGTTTGTGTCAGTACAGTTGTTCAAAAGTTGGAAAGTCTCTATTCAGTACAATTGTTCAAAAGAAAGAATCACTCATTCTCATCTGGATTTATTACTTGCTGGATTTCCTCAAAATCTGTGCAAATTCCTTATTATGAAAAATGATAAAAATTCTACTTCATTCAAAAGTATAGTTGTGGTATTATTAGAACATATCATACCATTTCTGCTGCAGGTAGAACTACCTTCTATAGTTATTTCAATTATATATGTGTGTGTGTCTTGATTTAGATGTATTTTACTTGTATTTTTGTTTCTACATTTTAAATATGCAGAGGTTTCCCTACTTGTTAATATTGTCTTTAAAAGCTTTCACAATATTGGATTACTGCATCGAGTGGAATACATCCAGACCTTAAGCCCTTATGAAACGCAAATGATGTCAGCTTCATTCTTTTTTTTCACCTCAGGAAAAAGATGGAGAATGAACTTGTTCCCTCCCAAATGAAGTAATTTAATCCTTGGGCTCCATGAAATGGGATTTCCCAACATTAAACACTAATGAAAACTACATTAGGGTACAGTGTCAGGAGCTCTAGAACACCAGTTCCAAGGGGTGAAGAGTCACATGAACTCACTTCCAGATGTATCTGGCAACCATACATTTCTGTGACCAAGAGAGAGACGCAAAGGAGAAGGGGGGGGGTGGGTAGTGATCATGTAAATGTGGATATCCAGACATACTTCTACAGCTTTCTGGAAGTAAATTAAGATTTCAGATGGAAAGGTCTAATTCACATAAAATACTTGGGCAGGATCCAGTTTCAGGTTTGAGGTTCTAAAATAACGTAGTAAGAAAATCTCTTGGGGGAGGGAAATTCCTTCAAAATGTATATCTAAGGCATTTTAGGCATGGCAGAACTGTTAACAGAAGTATAAACCTTCAGAAATGACATTGCCCTTGTCTCCAAAAGGTATATGGTGGTCCAAAGGAAAGTGGTCATGCATAGCTTTTTCTTTTTTAGTTAGAGAAACTCCTCACTGGAAATTAGAGTATCTCTACTCAGAAACACTGTGGGGGGACTGATCAAAGAGTTCATTAGGATGTTTTGCCCCCTATGCTTCATCAACACAGCTATAAGGTGTGTATAGCTATCAATTCAGCTATGAGGTGATGTTTGCATTTCTAACATTCAAGGCACTACACGCAAGATCAAGCATTGGAAAAGCGCTCATGGGGAAGAGGAGTTTGGGGCACAAGACCTGAAGTCTGCTTATGAAAGTGTATGTCCCATGGGTTGTAACTTAGGAGTTACTGTGGAGTGATGGAAGGAGGGTTGTCTGAGTCCCACAGAAAGATCTACCCCCAGAGGTGGATGGGCGAGGCTCCTAACAACGTGGTGAACGAAGATGGCTGGCGGATACGTGCTTTTGTGTATTCCTATGTGGTTCATTCTGCTGGATGCAGTTTTCTGCCTTCCCCTAGTATTTCTAACAGATGAAATCGCACATATGCAGACATGAAATCTGTCTTATGTTCAAATTGTTCTCAAAGATACCAGTAGCCTGTGAACAAATTAATGTTTTCAAAACAAGAGCTGTAGCAGAACTGACTGTACATGGAAAATAATTTCCCATAAGTGTTAAAAAAATAAATACTGTCACTAATACAGTAATGCCAAATGGATATTTTTTTCCCTGAAAAATGTGACCAAAGTAGACACACGCTTAGTTTTCCCCAGATCTGTGTACTTAACTGATCAAACTTTTCTGTACCGATACTAGGACAATTTTTCCCCCAAAGTTACAACGCAGTGCTTGTGGCTAAAAGGAGCACATATATTCTCAGAGCTGTAGAAAAAGGTCGCAAGGAGTCAGAAAACATGTCTGCACTTCCTGGCCTTAAGTCTGTGTTTCATTACTTCACTGGCCAAACAGAAGACAGCTGGACGATTCCTTGTCTGCGACTCTGGAATCGAAAAATTCCTGAAAACCCAATTTTTTCCCCTAATTTACTTGGCAGCAAAGCCCGATGTAAACAGATATGAAGACGTTTATGGACTTTATTTCATTTGGAGAATTTTCATACTT